GTGTTCCATACATAAATAATCTGTAAGGTCGATTCAAAGTATTTTCAAAGCCGAAGGGAACCAGCGCCGGCAGACGCAATGAAACTAATTAACATTAATTATAAACAATCACGAAGTCAACTCGCGGTGTGTGAAAAGTGCACAAATTGAAATTTAGTAATTTATTAATTCATCTAATGGTTTTGTTGACTTGTGTAATGCCCCATCGCCTTGAGTTGCACACAGACTGCAATATTATTGCATTAGGGAATGGGCAATAACATCTCGACGTTCATCGCCATCCACTGCAAGGATATATCGATATATGAATAATAACCTCTCACACATTCAAACAGATTGTATGAAACGTAATGGAATTACACAACGTTGTTCGCGCACCGTGTAAAGCAATACGACATTCGACAGGTCAGTAATCAAACTGCGTTTGCCGCTATCGGAATTTAGCAGTAAGGAAACGTGGAAAACGAAAACACGAACTTACAACGAGGATGTTCACAAGACTACACACGCTAATTGGCGTTTTGTCTTTCCGAAGCCGATGTTTCCACCTTTTTGGCTTTGGATCACATTATATTCACGTGGACGCACAGCGCACGCTTGTTTGTTTGTTTGTCGTGTGGTGAATTGCGATAAAAATCTCAATCGAAAGTTGTAGAGTACAGGTACTAATCAAACGCAAACAAATAACAAGTTAGCGCGGCGGAATTGAATGGCAAAACGTCTGCGTACGCAAATTGTAATCATTTGCAACATGAACACGACTTGCCCCACGGCGTACGCGCCGACAGTTTGTACGAAATTGTAAAATCCGGCGATTGATTTCGCATTTCCGGGAAGCGGGACATTAGCGCTAACAAACGCTTTCATTTTTCCTGCTCACCGAAACACTTAGCCGATTATTACTATAATTAAAATTAATTTCTGTACGTCGGTATAACTTTATAAACATATTTGTTTTTGGTCTGTATACGAAATTCTAAACATTTTTGAATATTGCATGCTGGGAGATTAAACGATGCGATGGGTGTTTCCGGGTGTATTCTAATGACTTCGAATAAATTAAATTAGTATTTATTGGGCATTGCGAATGCGTCTTTTTGTGGATAGTGTGTGCGTAGATTAGGTTTGCTTCACGCTTTGAGCGAACGCGTCCGGATCATTGATTCGCATCGGTAACGGCATCGACTTTTTGATTACATAATAAAAGCGTGTAAACCCTCGACACTACAATGCACTTTGAATGCATTCAAGTGATTCCATCTTACTTCCTCTTGCCAGAGAGTAGTCGGTACGATTAGTTGACTCTTTGATCGGTTTGATTGCGCTGCTGCCCGGGGATATTTGTTTTTAAATAGCTGGTTTACATGAAGAGGGGACTGGACCTTCGAATCTGTATAGTACCAGCGAGGGTGAATTTGAGATATGGGGGTGTTCCAATCGGCGTAAAATTATGTCATAAATTTGTGCAATTTGTCGGTGTCGGTAACAAACGCTACGGTTATTCTGGACATAAATATTATTTTTGTAGTTTTTTAATTCGCCCTGTAGAATTATTTAGATCACCACCTCATACCACCTCCTTGGCCGACCACAGTGATGGAAGAACAGGCAAATTTTGCCTATGATGAGAGTAAGAAGAAGAAGAAGACCACCTCATACAACAGTTGTTATTATAACAGGTCCTGTTTGCCTTGCATGCATACGATGTGCATTCTTAAATACGCATTCTGCAATGTGTAGCCAGCGAAAAACGACGAGGGTGTTATACTGATTTATGGCGACGGCCGTTCCGGTTCTATTCAGATTTAAATTAACAGCGCAACGCCGCAGGGGCAGGAAAAGGCGTGTGTCTTCATTTCTGCACACACTACTTCAATGTGAATGCATTGTGAACAAAAATAAGTTCGAAACATTTTTTAAACACACTGTATGCGGACAATGCAGCGCCAATAAGCGGAAAATTGAATTTTTATTGTTATTCGTAACTTTGCACGCGTTTAACGTAATTTTCGTGAGAGTTTGGGAATCTTACATGCGGTACACAAGTTTAATTCGAATCTCTCATTTTTTTTGTTTAAATTAATTTGTGTAAATCGTCGGCGATCAAATTTGCCAATTATTTTCACGCAATAAATTGCCAATCTTAGTTGGCTCCCATCATCTTATGAGCGTGCCTACATGTTGATTCTCTCTCGTAGCAGGTCGCCACCGCCAGAGTTTCGAGACTGTCGACGTCTTCGGCGACGCGTTTTACGGCTCGGGTGTCTCGTTACTCGCGGTTTCATGTGGTCGTCAGTCGTACAGTCGCGACCATACATCATTAATTTAATTAAACAATTCAATAATAACATGTTTAATTGAAATGTACGCTTCACTAAAACTACACCTTAAAACAATTCGTCAGATTGGCTAACGGGGCAATAAACTTTCGATATCAGATGATATAATTTTGAAATTATTCTGATATTCAATTATCAATTTTGTGTAGGTGAGTACGAAATCAATTAAATTGAGCTAATATAAAATGATGTTCGGAAAGTTGGTGTAACTGCATTTACGTTTCAATATCACACATTTAGATTTTATTACGTAATACGAGTGCATTAGTTATAAATGTCAATAAAGGTAAAGCGGAGTTTATTACACGCGCGTTTTCGATCGGCCGGTGGGCTCCGCGAGACGCCACCAGACTGTAACAGCCATTATGGCAGCGAGACGGCGCCCAGATGCAAATGCACCAACAGCAGCAGCAGCAACAAACGACGCAAACAAAAACAAACATATTCACGAACATCGCGCGGATGGCGCGGCGGCGATCACGAGTGTGCAATCGAACATAACGAATCCGCAGACGCTAGAGGTGCCACTCGGTAATGCGTTTGTAATTTCCATTTACGCTCGGCCTCTCGAATGCAACAAAACGCGCAAAGTGTTATTGGAAAATTTAATTATGATTTTTAATTAATGTCGGTCGAAAGTTTAAACTTTGTCATAAAACTACGAAACAGTAAAATAAGTGAGAGCTAAACCAAACCAAAAATAGTGAGCGTACCTATAAGGTATTGGTTTAAATGTGTTAATGACGTTTTTTATTTTATTTTGGAAAAATGTAAAAATGTAATTAAACTTGGCAATGCCCAAACGTTCGGTTTGAAATTATTTTTCTTCGGAGCTGAAAATAATTTACAGCTTTTTCTAAAAATTTACCATTTGACTTTTTGACTTTCTAAACATCCTAGCTTCTTTTATTCCATTGTTAAATAGATACCACCTTGCCTTCCGAGTATAAACACGCCACGACACTCTGTCTTCAGACAATGATCACCATTGGGGGTTGAAATGCATACCATCCGGCGTAACGGAAGGGGTACACAATTTTGAACACGTTTACAACTCCACGTCACAAGTCACAATGAATCATAAACGTAAATATTTTGCCATGACGATTTTGAACGGATTGTAAATCATTTACGCCTAATGAAAAGACGGATTAGTTTTGTGGTTTTCGCATAATATTCATATACACGTCATAGAATCACTCGAATATTTTCCATATAAAAAAATGAGTAAAATTTAAATTTAAAATTTTATTGCCTTTTTTAAACAAAAAAAATCTCGGTGTATTATTAAAATACAGGCGTTGTTTGGAAATCTATATCGACAATGTCCTTTGTGACGTGTCGTGAGTTATACGCGTAAATGCATTAATATTTTACATGATAAGGTAAACATAGAGTAATAACGTTGGAAAATAATCGTAAAAGAATGTAATTTACTAGTTTGTCAAATTTTTCCGTTTCTGCGCCGAACAACAAACGCCTCCAGCTGATAATAATAGAATATTAATTATAATCAACGTGAAAAATATGCAAAATTTGCGAAAGATAATTACGCAAGTATTTCGTACTGGAATATTTCTACAGTTCCAAGAAAATATTATAATAAGAGTTTAAAATCATAAAAATTAAAATCCAATGTTTGGTGCTGCGGTACACACAAAATAAAAATACAATTTTAATTTAATAAATAAATAATTTTGAGTGTTTCAGTGACACATTGTATATTTACTGGAACGTCAAGCTACCGGACGATATTAATACCGACAATTTTTCATAGTCCAATTAATAATTAATTGTATACAATTATTTGGTAGCCTGGCATCGACGCACGAGCGTTTTACATGCGCTGATATTGTGCTATCGGCAGCGTTCTCAACTCACATTCACATTCACGTGTTCACTCACACACGCGAGTTAACTCTTAAGATGGTCGCTTACCTGCTGTAGAACTGGAAGTCAAGTCAAGCCACTCATTTGCATAATCACAACATTGATTTGCTGGGCATTTACGTCAGCGTAACTAATGCCTTTTTAAATGTTTATTAATTTAATATTCATGGCGCATGAGTGAGTACACGACCTTTTATGCTCACAATTATTAAAATATAATCAAAAACAAAAAACACAAAGCGAAAAAATAATCAAAATGGCGCCTGGAGACAGTGTTGAGTTATTTATTTAAAAATTTCAAGACGCGTACGCGTGTGTAACGGAATTTATTCATAAAAACCAATAAATTATATCGAAAATAATTTACGCATCGTTTTCGGTTACATACAGAAAGTGTTTCTCACTCTGGGACATTAATAAAGCCATAAAACGATTCTTGTAGAAGAGCAGATAGATACGCATCTAAACGCGAACATAATGCTACGAAACTTACCGGAATCTGTGTGCGACACACTGCTACATACAAACGCTATAGTCACACCGACGTGGACACGAGCTCATTCGTTGTATTTTTTTTTGCCTTCGGAAATTTTATTTCGTTTTTTATCTTTATTATGAATTGACGAAAAAAACCGGACGAATAAATAAAAAATAATTGAACGCTTTGACACTTCATTCAGATTTCACCTCCGATGTTGTGCTCGCATGCAGTAGTGACGAGGCAAGTGCTGGAAAGTCGAAAATAAAAAATTAAAAAAAATGGAGAAAAAATCTTTTATACTCATGTATATTTTATAGTCCACTTATTCGTTTAGTATTTACATAACAACAAATTTGGATATCTCAACATAATAATAATAATAGTAATAATAATAAAAAAATGTATTGCATTCTTCAATCTCGTCTCTAGAGCGTGTTTTCACATTTTCGAATAATTTAAACCAGAAAAAGTACCTGTGCACACGTTAAATTTATGTAATTTTTTTTATACCAAAAACATCCAACTATTTTTATTTTACTTTTTTCTTTTTGTTATGCACAATTTGGTTTGGTTTTGTTTGGATATTTTCTTTTAGGGGTTTTAATACTGCATCATGTCCTGAATTTGCAAGAAATTTTCTAGTCTAATACTTTCGTACAAAATATACTCGTATATACTACCACATTTACATACTCAATAATTCAGTTTACTCGTACATACTTGCTTGGAATAAGTTTTAGTTTTCTACCGTTCTATAGTTCACATTTCGTTTTTTTTTTGCATCATCGCCGTTCTTTTGTTGTTTATATAGAAATCAAATAAATTATATTGATAGTTTTATATCTATATCATCTATAGGTATATATTTACTCCCACTATTTACAAGATTCTGTTCGCTTATGTTTATAGTTTCACATTTTATAGTTTTTATCTCGAATTAGTATGCTTTAGTTTAGTATTTTTAGTTCTTAAAAAAAAACTCGCAAAATTATCAACGGATAAAATCATAAAAATAAAGTTTTGCGTCTCTATACGATGAAGACGTACTCTTTGGTTACTTTTTGGCCTGTAGCCGCACTCCGCTTTGTAGAATTTACCTAAACATCAGTAGTAATCTAGAGTCATTGGGAAGAGCGCGCGATGGGGCTGACTGACGGCTGGTTGGCGGGGCGTGGGGCGTAGGGGCTAAACCGATGCATTGACGGGAAGGCCGGCATCGCCTTGGGTAGTCGCAGGTCGGCGGAAGAGGTGCTAATGGAAGTGGGGCTCGGTGAGCCGGAGGAACTTGGCGTCGATGAGAGTGGCGGCGGCGGCGGCGTCATTTGCGGACGATGTGGTGCCGGTGGGCCGAGTAGACCCGGAGGAAGACCACCGCCGTGCATTTGATGCGATTGATGCCAGGGTGAAGTAGCACCTTGACTCCACATACCCAAGGGCATACCGGCGGCGGCTGCCGCAGCTGCCCGTTGCCCGAGGTACACTTGTTGAGCGCTCGGTGTGCCACCGCCGCCGCTCAGCAGCAGCGCGTGCAATTCACCGGGACTGTACGGACTTGCGCCGCCCGTCGCCCGCCCCCACATCTGAATATGTGCGCGAGCTTTCTCCATCATGGCGGCGGAGAAGAGCGAACCGGCGTTGTTGTTCTCTGCATCCAGCGGGTCACCGGAATAGAGACGCAGTGAGGAACGTAGAAAGTGTTGATCCATGAACAGGCTGTCCATTGGTTCTCTGTAAACAATAGATAGAGGCATTAAAATTCAATTCGGGATCAAATTTACAAAGGTTTTAATTAATTGTTTGTGGTCACTCTCAAATAGTCTCGTGGTGGTTCTTGACGTGAAAAACGGTGAAAGTGATAAGTAATAACTCATGCACCGCGGCTGTGATATAGAATTTAATTTCGGTGTGTTTTTTGGGCTGCAGCCCAGCATCGGCGCTCTCTGAACTGCTCCGAAGACCAGAAAACGAGGGCGTGGAACTGGAAGCCGCTCTGTAATTTTAGACAATCGTTGTCTTCACGACGACGGCTTGATGATATAATGAAGCCGACATATTTTCTCACACCTCGCGCCGTGCAGGTAGATGATAGGCCCCGAATGATGGATATGCTCTCGCACTCTCTCCCCTTCAACCACACGGACGGGCCTCATCAGTCCGTGTGGAGCGTTTAGCTGTTGGGCTGAGGCCGTGTGTTTGTGGATGCTGTTTTCCCAGTTATTTTCTCGTTTGGTTTTTTGCGCGCCGCTGCCGAAGGCAGGTTCTGTAATTAGGGCGGCATCCACGCACCGACAAAGACCCACACGGACTCAGGTAGAGTGCGCAAGCGAGGTGGAACGAGGTGGGCCCTGCGGGCGGAAAGGCGTTGGTGCGTTCGCCGGGCCCTCTCATTATCGGCTCACCGCGCCGCGCGGACGGCTCGCATCTCAATATTATTGATTGTTTTCTGCGCCAACCTCTCCAAACCTTCGGCTATGCCTGCTCTATTATGATTTGTTTAAAACGGAGGCGACAAAACTCGAACAATATAATAATTGCCCCCGAGGATCCGGTTAAACGCATCACTTTCAAGTGGCCCGCTACCCGCCGCGCGCTACCAAGTGGTAATTACCCGTCGATGCCCTCGAGGCAATCGGGTCTTTGTCATGGAAATTTCAGTCCTACCCAAAGCCGACACTAAACGATTCCTGCGTAAGACCCACATATCTATCTAATTTCTATCTGACTGGTGTTGAATGTGATTTAAGTGACAACTTTAGTTTCTCAAATTCGCCACAGATAATTAAATTTTGCTTGAGTGCAATTACAGAATATTATACAACTCCTAGGGCGGCAAACACCTTCACGGCCCGCGCAAAAAAAGACAGCTGTCTTGCGTCTCATCAAGTCTTATCTCAACCCGTGCTACCGACTTTGAGCCACCACGTTTATGAATCGTAAAAATGGCAATCGTCCTAATGTGGACATGCCTGTTTCATCACATGCTGATGACGGCGAAATAATTACCGTCGGTAGTCGTCGTTTACGACGTGTTTTCGCGTAATGGCATGGGCAGCAATTTTGGGCCGTAAAAAGCGTAATTAAAATCCCACGTACAGACACACCTTTGCAGAGTCAAACCACTGCGCAGCAATTTCCAACGGGCACCTACCTGTCAAAGTCTGTCAGACGCGAAGAGTCGCGAAACCCTTTGGCGAAAGGATTCGAGTCAATCTTGAGCTTGGTGATCAACTGGTTCTGATAGGCTGTCACGGCAGTGAAGACTGTCTCGGGGAAGATGTACGTCCGATACTGCTCCTGTTCCAGGTCCGTGATGGGACCACTATGGTCGCGGTACTTTACGATGTGTATTCTTGGCTGGTAGCGGTGCATGGAATTTAACACAATCTGCAAAAAAGGAAATATTCACAATTAGTAGGAGTTGGAGTATTGTTAGTAGTTGTTTACGTTGGTAAACAGCGGACGAAAGTCTAAAGTTTGAAGTGAATGTAAATCGCGTGCGAGCGGCGTGCGCGCCGACGGCAGCCATTGTGTGCCGGCGCGCCGCCAATCATTATTGCCACCAGGAGTTACGAGTGGGTTGCCAGGCAACCGGGTTTAACAGGGGGACCCGGAGTTTTCCGCACGGCTGAACGCAAGCGCTCTTCGGCCGCAGTACTACATACACACACACAAAGCTAGTCAACATTTCCATTGCCTCGCATTACACTTCAGACCCTTCGCTATCAATCGGTCCCATCTACGATTACTTCTTTTTATCATGCCCAAAACTACAAACGTCTACAAAATGGCTATTCGAGATTAAGCTTTAAGTACGCCAGCGGCTCGAATATAAAAGGGCGATTAAACACGTTAATTTCGCGTGAAAATTGCCTCGTAATTCATGAAAATGAAAACAGTTTTTGATTTGAACGCCGTATTTGTTTGGAAATGTCGTTGACTGGGTCGTTGTGTTTTTGGCCGAGTGCCGACATAAAATCCGGGGCCCGGTTTACCCCGCGAATCGATGCCGTAATCACGCTGATAACGCACCCAACGACACGCACGCACGCAGCCGAAATTTACCTTCGCCAATCACGCGGAAAACGCGGAAAACTCGCACGCGAGGCGCTAACGTATCAATTTACCGCGCGGGTTTCACGTATTATAATACCCGATAATCGCATCTCCATTAAGCCGAAACGGCGGCGTATAAAATGAAAATGTAACTCGATAACGCACCACCGCCGAAATTGATACGAAACATTTCACATTCCAATCGATAATCAAACAAAGCTTAAAAATCTACACGGTGAGAGGTTTTTTTATAAGTTAGAAAAAGGTAGTAGTATAATATCTTCTATATCTACGATTAATCAAACATTATTTAGAAAAAAGTTGATTAAGTTGTTTGCTCTCGCCGAACGCAAACATAATTTAAATATGAAAACCAAGCAACATTTATCACGTTTGATAAATGACAGTATTTTAATTTTTTAATTCCTACTTTATATTTTTCACGCGAGACGCAAACGTGTTACACAATAATTGTGGTTAAGTAAGTACGGAAACTCGTGCTCGAATGTTTGGATAATTTTTTATTAAAATCCACACACCACACCGTGCTGACTTGACGACTTGACTTGACGCCATTACGGCCGCGGCTAGTAAATTATTCAGGTGAAATATTACACTCTCCAATGCGTCCACTGGGGACGCTTTTTTTCTCTTGTGTTATGCCCAGAATACTTGCGACATTGCGACACTCGCGCTGGTATTAATCAAATCCTGTTGCGGTGTTGCACATTAACATCTATCTAACATTCTAACAACTTCAAATCACACGTACACACCATATCTTTAAGATGAGCACGTTTGCAGTTGGAAAATCAGTAGCTTGATTTGGTTTCATTTTGGTTTCAACTCCAAGGTGTGAAGAAAATATTCACACAGACACATTCATGCCCACGATGAATATTAAAAACGCGGAGTTATGATTATGTGACAAAGTAGAAGTATCTTGTCGCAGCTGCACTAATCCCTTGCTGTGCACCGATAGGATCTTGATGCAGCAAACCCACTTATATATGTGTTCTTATTTTGATTCTTTACACTTTTTTTTTCACATTCTGACGATGACTCTGGTTTGTTGAATGTATTGCTTGTTTTTTTTTTTTACTGAATGTATGAATGCATAAACGGAAAGGTGGAACACCTCTGTGACGTCCGTCTGCAACCCGGGACGCTGCGGGGCGTCCGACTCGGGGACAACGAATTTCTCACCTCACACGGTGCGCAAACGCACGAGGCGTGCGTTTTAATGTCGTTTAAATAAACACCAGGATTATAATAGTTTTATCCTAACCAACACCAAAGAAAACTAAAAAAAAACTAAAAAATTTCTTTGCTAGAATTTGGGGTTGTAATTCATTCGTAAGTACAATTACAGCGAAGAGCACTTAACAAAGTTAATCAATCATCCCCCCGCGGTAATGTTGACGTGAAAACATGGAATAAAATGGAATAAAATGGAACACGGCACGTGAGCACGCCCTCTAAGGCTGTGAAAGCAGCGTGTAAGGAAAATTATTTTCGTGTGCGATGAGTTCGCGAGGTCCGAAATTTATGCAAGTTGTAAATTATTTCAACGTTCTTTCCTTGGGTTGCGGTAGTGCGGTATTCATAAACCAGTGAAAGCTAACACGCTCGTGGGAGATCATTACCGCAATGCGCAGAAGGAAAAATTTGCTAATTTCAAGAAGTTTCCCAACTAGACGCTACTACAGACTAGACCCGCGACCACCCACGAAAGGTTGTTAACGGCTCGTACGTGATATCCTCAATGAAGGAACGTTCAAAACTCTTTTTGGCCGTTTTGCTTTGCTTTATTTGACTGGTGGAGCTGCATCTACGCATAAAACTGTAAACGCATTAGAAGTTGATTAAGTGGCTTGGGAATATTCACCGGGCAAAACCAACATGGCGTAAACTACACCGGAACAATCAGGTTCATCAACATCTTAAACGCTTAATTACCATTAAAACAAAGCACATCATCTTTGGATGTAGATATTTCACTAATTGAATTTACTTACTAGCTGTAGTCAAGTTGATGGTAGGTTCTGATTTGACTAAAAAGGGCGTAATGGTATTTCAAAAATGTGCCACGCCGAAAATTGATATTTGAATGCTTCACGTTGAAACTATGCGGTATTATGTGCGCGAGACGCGTCCGAATGTCGTTGACTAATTCTGCGCGTCAACGCTGAGTTATGATCCTCGGACCGGGCGCACCACGACGCCGTACAATCGCATTCCCGATCTGGGAGCATTAAACAAACTCACAAATTAGGACTAAACATGTGCCACTATTGTATTTCATTCCTCCCCGCAAGATTTATGCCAGCTGCTGTCGTTGATTATTCATTGCGACGATGTGGCTTCCACCTTCCACTCTACCAGGAGGGTAAACATAAATTATGATCTAATAAGAATGCAAAAATATAAGAACACGCCTTGCGTTAATTAATACTAATCCTATTAGCCACTAGAAAGTCTTCAACTTTAGTTGAACGTTACTCTACCAGCTTAAATATTGAAGGTACAGCCGTGGTAAGGGATTAAAGGTGTAAATTTATTACCATCTGCGTGCGATACTTGGCTTGTTAAGAAAAGCATTCAGAAAAGTTGACGCTATCAAAGCCTATCAACGGGTATGCTCCCGTGCAACGTGCCAAGTGCGGTTTGTATATAAAATTTTTATTATATTTAAACAGTCCGAGCGATAAAACGACGTCTTTAATCCAACGTGACCACCGTGCTCACACCATCATCGCATGTAAATCTAACGATTGGTAATAATTTGTAATAAACTGTGTTGGTTTATATTTATAGCCGACGAATAAATAACCAACCCATGTTTATTTAGTAAATTAAACAATTTTTCCTTTCGTCAAGGTGTGAATATTTAATACTCAGCATGGAGTTTTACATTCAGCAGGAATAGTGTTTAAGACTCTCTCTATTCTGAACATCACATCCGCCCAGGCAAAGCGCGCGGACCGGTTTATTCGGGCCGCGGCTAATTAATTTCGAAATTAGTCTCAATTATTAAATAAAGTTATTATCGGCTCGCAGCGATCTCCTTCTTCTTGAAGCTCTACTACAAAATATTTACGGCGGGGCGAACTTTACGAACTGGAAATTTAGATTGTCGAAGCGATCGCCTTCCAAAACACGCTTTCAAAGCAAGACTTGAGTGAGACTTTTGCTCTATAAATTTTAGTTCTGCCCATAAAAACAATTCAAGCGCCTCGACAACATACACAACCTATTATCCGCACACACCTGAAACCTGCGCACAGGATATTTTGAAACCAGCGCATATTAATATAGTAATTCATCTCATCGGCGTTTTGTGTTTGCATACAACCGACATGTGTTTGTTATAGAAATTAATTTCTATAACGAATCTTAATATGAATATAATCTTTTTAACACGCTGGTAATTATATATATGACGCTCATCGGCCGCAATAAAACGTTATTAATTGCCGAAAACAACATAATACAATCAACGTGAATAAAACCTCTGCGCGCAGGAGGTGATAAAATTTCGGAACGGAAAACAATTTACGTTTATCAAGCAGCTCAAGGCTTATACGAACATTTAATCCCGTGACCCAAACAAATAAAATATGAAAATGATCCGGATAACGCATTAAAATGCAAATTGAATGTGTGCTTCATTCTTTCCAGAATTTTTGAATTGCTGCGCGCGCGTCGTGTGGAAGAATTGGTTCAGGAGTAGTGGTGTGTATGCTGGGCACTCTTCAGGTGATATTTTATGGCGATGCAACGCGAAGAAGCTGTGCACCAGTGGGTGTACTTATTGGTGGGGCCCCTCTGCGGTGGTCCTCGCTGTGGCCGAGGCGACAATTTGTAGCGACTCACGACTCATAAACGAGGATTCTTGCCCAGCGTGCTGCGCGCTGGCAACGAGTTTACCGGACTGCATACACTACCATCATATCGCCAGGCTGAAGGTAAGATCGAGATGGAATTCTCGTTGTTAACAAATAGGCGACATCGTGCGTACGTGTGTTCGGCAGCAGATCGCGCAGCTCGCCAGCTCGTTTGGTACGTGTGAGGGATTAATTTATAACTCTTTTTCTTTTTATTACTCAGGTGCACACACAAGCTGGTGTGGTGTGCCATGGTGTGTTTATATGTTTATTTGCTTGCTGGTTTCGGTATTAATGGAAATTCTGCGCACTGTCGCAGATGGAGTTGTATATATATTTTCTTTTGCGTATAATTTACACACCGCGCAACTTGGAACAGGAAAACGTAAGTCTTGTGCGATGAGGAACATAAACGATAATTGATTCGTTTAAAATTGCATATCCACCTGCGTTAAACCATCAAGCGATTGCGATTATTGCGCCTACCTACCAACTCTTTTGAATTTATAATTTGCGAAGTTAAAATCTGTGTGGTTGAGGTGAAAATTAAATGAAATTTACCTGGCCATTCTTGTCCATTTCGTTGTTGGTAAGTTTGACTTTCTCGAAGGAGACGACCTGTTTTCGTAACTGCTCTCCTGAGTAGGGTGAGTCTGGATGTGCGTAGAGTCGACTCGGTGCTGGTGGGTCAGCTTTACCCGCCACCAGCCACGAGGAACGGTGATAAGCGTATCGGTAACGTTTGTTATCAACAGGAACAATATCTAACAGCACGGCATATCGCTGGTCCGGTCGGATTCCGGTGAAGGATACCCTGAGTGTTGGAAACATTCTCCTGAAAATGAAAGAAAAACTCATTAATTTTCATGTCGGCGTAATTAATTAATAATTACTAGATTAGTTGCCTAGGGTATAGTTTTACATATGTCGACAGAAACACTATATTCACAGAAATGTTCTGTTTTTTTTTTCGGTTTCATTTCCATCAATTTCTGACATTTCTCGACGTGGAAAAAGCCCGTCACATGTGTTATGAACATTAGGGCTGGAATTATAAGCGCACACGCACGATGCTCACCAGATAGATACGGAATAAACAAAAAAAAGTACGTTCGGGTGTTAAAATACCTAAATTACCCGCGTTCGAATGTTGGACAACCTGTTATTACGGTTTCCGCAGGCCGGGGAGCGCGCACGGCTGTCGATCTCGCGGCTCTCCGGCTCGACACCTTTGCGTGCGGAGAGGTGTAAAAATTACACGTTCGCTTAATCGCGAATAATAACAAACGGGGAGCGCGAAGAACGCGCTTACCGCAGGGGCTTCAAAAGTGCCGAAAAATGCACCAAACATTCAAAACCGCAAAATTAAAACAACTCACAACTTCAAAATCGTGTTTCATAATTTTTTTTGTAGTCATTTACGTATTTATTACTTGCAAGGTGCAACCAGATATGACCCACTTTATAAATTATTTTAAGATTTTTTTTTCGTGTTTGTGTAAAAAACATAAGTCTAAGACGGTTAAGAATCAAAATTATTAATTACGACATTAGTCTACGACTCTAGATCATTAATAATGGCAATTTTCATAAATTATGTTAACGTTGTTAAAAAAAAAAGAAATACGTTGCAGGGTCGAACACGTTAAACTGTTCTAGTATATACTATGTAGTAGGACGAGTGCAAGTACACGAAAAGCCTCTCGCAGCGCTCGACCTGCCATTCATTCCATCATGTTTCGTGCTGCACGTTCCATCAAGTTTCCACACTCTTTAAACATGTTCAACATGCATATTTACTTTGAGCCCTCGTCGACGCATCGGCTTTCCTTCCACCTTCCACCTTCCACCAACCGCGGTTATTAATAAGCGGCGCGAACGGACTTAACTCATCTCTCATCCGTAAAAGGCTTCAAGACTTCCGGTTCCATCTACATACATACCCACACACAAACGTAAAATTTAGGTTTGCTAATGATTTTTCTGTTGGGAATATTTCTATAGTTATAATGGCCACAAAAATGTTTTAATATTAATATTAGTAATTGACCGTTTTAATGACCGAGTTTAAACTCTATCCACACGGTACACACACAATCATTTTTATAGATACATTAAAAAGCAATTAGAATTATGTTGGTACTTCCTAAGCGTGCGCTCAAAAGTGTTCGAACACGACATCATTTGCCTCCTCATTCACATTCATACGCATACACTGCTTTCGTGATATTGTTGTTCTTGTTCTTGTGGCCTGATGATGATCGCGTTATTTCGCTCGTTTTGCTGTTTTATACACCGTTTTACCTGCGCATCTGCAAGCTCGCGAGCATTCAAAACGCCTTTCTGATCACCGCACGTAGATAATAAAACCGCGTGTGCGTCGTTTCACAAAAATTAAGCGCAAATTGAAGCACAATGCGCATTCATATATTTATTACGAGCGCATTAATACTTAATCCACGACATGACTAACAAGTCGCCGGGTATGAACAACTACACTGTGCGCAACAAGAGTGGCAATGAAGGATTATAATTAAAAACAGTTGCGAGCACTCAAAGCCTCTCAAAGACATACACTACCACATTTATACACTTAATATTAAAAGGTGTGTGCAACGGAGTAATTGTTCCTTCGAGTTTCACATATTCGTTGAGACCCATAACGTCGTGTTATGACTTCTATTGTGACCGTTTCAATTGTTATTATAATATTTTATATTTTATAGTTTATATCACAGAGGTTGGCAAGGTAGAAATAAACTTTTTATTGTTTTATGTTGATGGTTTCATCGTTGACGTTTTTAGTAGTATTTTTTTAGATTTTAGATCTTTTTACGGTTTATTGTAGTTTTTAATGTGTTGCGTGCTAAGATCGATGGCTCGTTAGTGACTTAAGTCAAGAGTCAAGTTTTCTGGGTAATTTAGTGTTTGTAGTAGGAAAAAATACGTTGTCACTCAATCAAGAACATCAACAACATCAAGCAACAAAAACAATTTGATATAAAAAATTATTAAAAAATCGCTAAAACTTTAGTTTTGATGAAGTAAATTTTTACGAACTAATGAAAAAGCTCGTTTGTGATGTTGAGCGTGCTAAGCATCTCGTGTGTGAGAACACGCGCTGTCATTTGTGTGATTACTAGAGCTTCAATTACACAGCGTACAATTTTCTACAATTATAAAATGTTTAAACATGTTAAATCGTTCGGGGAGGTCAAGTTGAGATTTACGCAATTTACTAATTCATTCAGTAACATTACATTAGCGATGATTCTATTATTATTCAATTATCAAATAAATTTAGTGTTTTTGTTGAATGATTTCAAGTATAAATAACAATTTTTACGTTTTCTGTTTGTTTGTGGCTCTCGCGTGTTTTGCGCTTGGTTGTAGCGGCGTTTCTCGCATTTAGTTAATAGATTAGCGTGGCAATTTCGCAATTAAGCGTTTGGCATTTACACATTCTCATGGCGGCCATTATTCATATTTAATCTCACAGGCGAGCGAAGTGCACGCGTTGGAAATTCGATGTGCAAACGCGCCAACAACAGTCGACATCGTCGACAATCGACACGGAAGAACGGAAATAACTCAAGAGTGCCGCTCACAACACTTAATACACTTATAAAACAAAACAAAACAATGCTTGAAAGCTCGAACGCAAAGATAATCACACTAATAATAATAGTGGATGGAACGCATCTGCGTTTGTGCTCTTTCAGGCTAAAAGAAAACTCAAAAACTGCTCAAAAAATCTGACAGAACAACACTTCGTATTCGTAGAAGAAAATTATACGTGTTCGTAATAAGCGGTTTGGAGACGCGTCGATCTAATGATACTTTTTTCGGGTTTTACAAAACACACCGAACCAAAAAGAGACACCTTAAGAAGTTGATGTCTTTAGAAAGGTGTTTGTTCCATTTTCCACCTAGAAATATTGTTTATTTCTTAAAATATTGCATAGATCTATGAAGTGATAATTATTCAGTTTTCAACGTTTCATACGCACGTCAAAATATCGAAAATTTACGACGTCGCATTTCGCACTAAAAGTTGTTTGAGTTTTTAATTGGACTAATTGTTTTCCTTCCTTCTTCCGTTCTCCAACACATTGCTGTGTTGGCTTTGAGAAAGAGGAACTGCGAGGCATGAAAAGATGATGAATTGGGCTGTAAATAATCCGTACCCCCTGAGAGTGTGCCGTGCCAGCTATCGATTAACGATAAAAACGTTGTTTAAGCATTTGTATAACAACACTTGACTACTATTTCCGTCCTGAAGGTAGGCACCAACCCAACAAGCTTAAAATTCACCTGCCTCTCTTATACTTAAGACTTGCAAGTAGCTACTAACTAAGAACTTCAACTACAAAAAGATAAAACACGTTGTTTGTAAAATTTACAGATCGAAGCAGAAAAAAAATCATTCAACTATGTGTTGGTTATAAAAATACTTTACACCTCTAAATGTGACTACAAATGTGTCCCCCGTATGCATTGAGAATTTGTCTGCGGAGATAATTCCGTGATTATTTATGTGCTGGACACTCGGGGGCTCGCGTCGACGATTATTACCCGCCTCGAAAATTCTTTAACGAACGTTTATCAAAACCCAAAACCAAAAACACCTCAGCGCACGAACCGGGCCATGCAAGCATCCCATTCGTATTTTATTTTATTGTTATTACGGAATGTTTTTGTGTGCGCGACGCGGCGCTATCATTTATATTCCTTATTAGTAGTCGTCAGCAGTATACCGAGTGTTGGATACACTTTTTCACTTCGGGGTCAACGCTTTTGATTGATTGTCTTTTTATGAAAAGCAAATTGCACCTTATACCTCATGCGCACGTGAGTATTAGACGGCGCGCGGGTATAAATTGCGCGAAAATGTCCACGTCATTAATCAAAAAATCAATTTGCAAACGCCGGCGCGCCACACTTAATTCATTCACTTTGCGCCGCCATCGCCGCCACTCGGCACGTTGTGCGCGTGCCTTCGGTAATAATTGCTTCATTTCGTTACTCGCGTTCTAACAGAGCGAAAAACGATAAAATTCGCATTCGAATTTGGAAATCGCTCGTAAAACGCGTCGGGTAGCTGCCTTTTTTAACTGCCGAATTTCGATTTACGAGCGGTCAGCCCTTAATTGCAATTACAAATATTAATGGCTTGAGATTTTTTTGTTTTTGTTTTAAATACAAAAAAATATATTCAACTGTATTTTTACTTAACATGGCTAAAGTATGATGTATGTGTAAATGTGCGTTCGGCGCAGGTGTCGGCGCGCCGCGCGTCGGTCGATATGACATCGGGGGCGGCGTCGTTGCGCGCCACCGCCGCGGTGACAGGTGCGCGGCCGGGTCCCTCATCGGTAATTGTCGATAATATTAATTCGCGCACGCTCGCGTGCTATTTTCGGGCTCGCTTTGATTGCGTACGAATGAGCCGCCGCCGACACGTTCACGTTTGCACCGGCGGTGCGGTCCGGCGCGGTAATAACAGGCCCCAGAGGCCGACGCGCCGGACCCAAACACGTAGCGCGCACTCAACGACGAGCTTTAAACAATTTCGTATGTTAATTAACCGAAGCGTTTCCCTACCCCGTCCTATATGCCAATTAAGTAATTACGTATGCAGATCCGACACCTTTCCGTTTGATCGCCGGACCTAGGCTCTAAATAAAGTTGTAAAAATATAAAAATTATAATTTTTTTTGTTGTTGGATAGGCAAAGACAAAGATCGATAGGATTTTTTTCGTTTTCATCTTGTGTTAAGGTGTGGGTTTTTTTTGGGGTGGCAAACAGGATGCAGGGTCAAGTCTCTCGGCTGT